AACCAGGCATGCCCAGGGAGGTAGGAACTGCTCAGGCACTTGAAAAACAGGCATCCTGAGGCGGGCCTGGTAGGGCCCCACTGTGGCCTGGAGGGCCAGCAGCTCTGAGGTGGGGTCGTGTGTGCAGCTCACAGCTCGGCCAGCAGCAGGGCGAGGGTCTGGCTTCAGCCTGTCTGGGCTCAACGTGGCTGTCAGGAGGATGACAGCAGGCAGTCTCTTTCCCGCAGAAGGCGCGTTTAAGAAACCAGCGCCGCCACGTTGGCCCCTGAGTGGCAGGTCCACGATCCCACAGTCCTCCAAGCTCAGGGGCCTAAAACCTGGGACTTGGTTGGTTTTCCTGTAACTAGACCTAGTTCCTGTGGCAGATGCCCAGACGAAAGAAAAAGAAGGCCGGGCTGCTGGCCCCCAGAATCTCTCCACTCTCACCCACCCTTGTGCCAGTCCCATATACTCCAAAATCAACCCAAGTCTGGAGGGGTTCGGGTAGGAGGCAGAGAGTGGGGGGGTTGGGACAGGGTCTCTGAACTTCACTTATCCCCTGCAGGTGTGGCCTGAGGCATTTGCATGGAGGAGGTGTGGACTGGTGTCCTGGGCAGGTCCACCGCGGTCAGGAGGGCGGCCCGGAAGACTCAGCCTCAGCTCTGGGCTGCACGTGGCTGCCTGAGACGCCTTCCGATGCCACAGGCCGTGACTTCGAGGCACCTGTGGGGCCGCAGAAGTCCCACGGTCTCCAGGCGGGACGTGGGACCACCAGCCTCGAAACACCCCAGTGCCTGACAGGCACAGAGCTGGGGCCGTCAGGGTGCCACGAGCTTCAGGGAATGAAGCTCTCAGTGATGAGGCTGTGGGCCCGGCAGGGCCGAGCCTCGAGCTGGGTGCCCAGCGAGTGCGGCTGCCTGTGCCGTGCTCTGCCTGTGCTCCACTCATAGTTACTCCCCCACCGTGGGTGAGGTACAAGTGGGATCAGGGTTGGATGGGAAGTGGATGGGGCCCGCCTGATGCCTGTCCTCCAGAACACTTGGCCCTTGTGCTGGGACCTACTCAGGGCCGTGGGGCCTTGCAGGCTCTTGCCCTGAGCAGCTCACAGTGTCCTCTCCAGTGACTCGCAGAGCCGCCCAACACTGCCATCCAGGGATCCTGGAAACCACTCTCTCCAGCCCCACCCAAAAGAGGCAGAAACCCTCTGGCTTCCACAGAAAGGTGCAGGGCCCGATGCCCCAGGAAAGCTGATGGGGCTCCCACGACAGCGAGGCCCTGAGCAGATGTCAAGGGGGTGCAGGAAGGTGGCGAGACCTCACCCTCCAGCACTTGAGGAATGGAGAAGCGAGGCTCCGTCAGATAGACTTCTGTGTGTGGTATGTGTGCTGTGTGGTATGTGGTTCGCGCGTGCTCCTGACAGCTCAGACCCCAGACCGCGGGTGCTCCTGACAGCTCAGACCCCAGACCACCCTTGCTGCTGACAGCGCAGACCCCAGACCGCCTGTGATCCTGACAGCTCAGACCCCAGAACGCAGGTGCTCCTGACAGCTCAGACCCCAGACCGCAGGTGCTCCTGACAGCTCAGACCCCAGACCGCGCGTGCTCCTGACAGCGCAGACCCCAGACCGCCTGTGATCCTGACAGCACAGACCCCAGACCGCGCGTGCTCCTGACAGCGCAGACCCCAGACCGCGCGTGCTCCTGACAGCTCAGATCCCAGACCACCTGTGATCCTGACAGCTCAGGCCCCAGACCGCGCGTGCTGCTGACAGCGCAGACCCCAGACCACAGGTGCTCCTGACAACTCAGACCCCAGACCGCACGTGCTCCTGACAGCACAGACCCCAGACCGTCTGTGATCCTGACAGCACAGACCCCAGACCGGGCGTGCTCCTGACAGCTCAGATCCCAGACCGCGCGTGCTCCTGACAGCTCAGATCCCAGACCGCCCTTGCTGCTGACAGCACAGACCCCAGACCGCCTGTGATCCTGACAGCTCAGACCCCAGACCACCCTTGCTGCTGACAGCTCAGACCCCAGACTGCAGGTACTCCTGACAGCTCAGAACCAGACCGCACATGCTCCTGACAGCGCAGACCCCAGACCGCACATGCTCCTGACAGCGCAGACCCCAGACTGCGCGTGCTCCTGACAACTCAGACCCCAGACCACCCTTGCTGCTGACAGCATCAGATCCCAGACCACCTGTGATCTGACAGCTCAGGCCCCAGACGTAGCGATGCTGCTGACAGCGCAGACCACGCCCACCTTTGACAGCTCCAGACCCCAGACCGCAGGTGCTCCTGACAGCTCAGACCCCAGACCGCGCGTGCTCCTGACAGCACAGACCCCAGACCGTCTGTGATCCTGACTAACACAGACCCCAGACGTAGCGTGCTCTGACAGCTCAGATCCCAGACCGCTTTGGCGTGCTCCTGACAGCTCAGATCCCAGACCACCTTGCTGCTGACAGCACAGACTGAACCGCCTGTGATCCTGACAGCTCAGACCCCAGACCACGTATTACTCCTGACAGCTCAGACCCCAGACCACCCTTGCTGCTGACAGCGCAGACCCCAGACCGCCTGTGATCCTGACAGCTCAGACCCCAGACCACGTGTACTTTCCTGACAGCTCAGATCCCAGACCACCCTTGCTGCTGACAGCACAGACCCCAGACCGCCTGTGATCCTGACAGCTCAGACCCCAGACCACGTGTGCTCCTGACAGCTCAGATCCCAGACCACCCTTGCTGCTGACAGCACAGACCCCAGACCGCCTGTGATCCTGACAGCTCAGACCCCAGACCACGTGTGCTCCTGACAGCTCAGATCCCAGACCACCCTTGCTGCTGACAGTACAGACCCCAGACCGCGTGTGCTCCTGACAGTGCAGATCCCAGACTGCGTGTGCTCCTGACAGCTCAGATCCCCAGACCACCCTTGCTGCTGACAGCACAGGCCCCAGACCGCCTGTGATCCTGACGCTCAGGCCCAGACCCACGTGTGCTCCTGACAGCTCAGATCCCAGACCACCCTTGCTGCTGACAGCACAGACCCCAGACGCCTGTGATCCTGACAGCTCAGACCCCAGACCCGTGTGCTCTGACAGCTCAGATCCCAGACCACCCTTGCTGCTGACAGTACAGACCCCAGACCGCGCGTCTCCTGACAGTGCAGATCCCAGACTGCGTGTGCTCTGACAGCTCCAGATCCAGACCACCTTGCTGCTGGCAACTGTAGACCCCAGACAGCCTGTGATCCTGACAGCTCCAGACCCCAGACCCACGTGTGCCTCCTGACCCAGCTCAGATCCCAGACCACCCTTGCTGCTGACAGCACAGACCCCAGACCGCGCGTGCTCCTGACAGTGCAGATCCCAGACCGCGTGTGCTCCTGACAGCTCAGATCCCAGACCGCCACGTGCTCCTGACAGCACAGACCCCAGACATGCAGCAGTCCTGAGCTCAGACCCCAGACCACGTATTGCTCCTGACAGCTCAGATCCCGGAGCCACCCTTGCTGCTGACAGCACAGACCCCAGACCGCAGGTGCTCCTGACAACTCAGACCCCAGACCACCCTTGCTGCTGACAGCACAGACCCCAGACCCCTTGTAATGCTCCTGACAGTACAGACCCAGACGCCGCGTGCTCCTGACAGCTCAGACCCCAGACCGGGTGCTCTTGACAGCTCAGACCCCAGACCCGCGGGTGCTCTTGACAGCTCAGACCCAGACCGCGGGTGCTGGTGCTCCCAACCCAGCTCCAGACCCGACGCACATGCTCTGACAGCGCAGACCCCAGACCACCACGCTCCCGACAGCTCTTGTCCATTACTCTTGGCTCACGCTGAGCCCTGTGCTGCTGCTCAGAAGCTGCAGGTGAGACTCGGGCACGAGGCCATGCACCTGTACGTGCTCTGAGAAGGCTGCCAGGCGCTCCTGAAACAAGAGGACATCAGAGGAAGGCAGGGACAGGCCTGCATCCCATGGTGCACATGTGTCCCCTCAGGCAGGTCTGTGGCCTGGTGGTCGCCTAGAGCGAGTTTGGAAGTGGGGTACTGGTGTGGCCAGGGAGAGACAGCCTGGGGCCCGGTGTCCTGACAGTGCAGATCCCAGACCGCGTGTGCTCCTGACAGCTCAGATCCCAGACCGCACGTGCTCCTGACAGCACAGACCCCAGACCGCCTGTGATCCTGACAGCTCAGACCCCAGACCACGTGTGCTCCTGACAGCTCAGATCCCAGACCACCCTTGCTGCTGACAGCACAGACCCCAGACCGCAGGTGCTCCTGACAACTCAGACCCCAGACCACCCTTGCTGCTGACAGCACAGACCCCAGACCGCGCGTGCTCCTGACAGTGCAGACCCCAGACCGCGCGTGCTCCTGACAGCTCAGACCCCAGACCACGGGTGCTCTTGACAGCTCAGACCCCAGACCGCGGGTGCTCTTGACAGCTCAGACCCCAGACCGCGGGTGCTGGTGCTCCTGACAGCTCAGACCCCAGACCGCACATGCTCCTGACAGCGCAGACCCCAGACCACCACGCTCCCGACAGCTCTTGTCCGTACTCTTGGCTCACGCTGAGCCCTGTGCTGCTGCTCAGAAGCTGCAGGTGAGACTCGAGGCACGAGGCCATGCACCTGTACGTGCTCTGAGGAAGGAGCTGCCAGGCGCTCCTGAAACAAGAGGACATCAGAGGAAGGCAGGGACAGGCCTGCATCCCATGGTGCACAGCCCGTGTCCCCTCAGGCAGGTCTGTGTGGCCTGGTGGTCGCCTAGAGCGGATTTGGAAGTGGGGTACTGGTGTGGCCAGGGAGAGACAGCCTGGGGGTCCCCGGTGGCTCTGGGCTCTGGGCCAGGATCTGAACCAGACTCTCGAGTTTTCCGTCACATCCCAGATCGGGGCCGTCCACGCAGCTTCCCACCGCGGCCAGGACTGCGTCTCTCAGGACCCCGCTCCGACCTCACTGTGGCCTCTCCACTGCATCCCACCCTATAACGCACCGTTTTCATCGCAGTGCGGACCCCTCTGGACATCGGGACAGAATCGACCTGGGAAATAGAAGTCGTGGCTCACATCCGCCCGGCCGCAGACACGGGGGTGCTGTTTGCGCTCTGGGTCCCCGACCTCCGTGCCGTGCCTCTCTCTGTGGCCCTGGTAGACTATCACTCCACAAAGAAGCTCAAGAAGCAGGTAGGGCCTCTGCCACCCGGGGTGTCCTGACCGGCTCGTCCCACAGGCACGTGGGCCGCACTCTCTGGCAGGGGACGGAGGGGCCTGGGTGGGATCCCCAGGGAGCCGCAAAAGCCTCTGACCAGAGGTCCGATGAGCCAAGCCTGGCGCGGGCCGCCCTTCCGACTGTGGGGGTGGTTTGGACACACATCACCGCCACACGGCTGACTGGGGGGGCCGGTGCCTGCGAGCCACACTCGGCCCACAGTGTGGGAGCTTTTCCCGTTCGGCTGGGCAGATGGTGGCTCACAGCAAACTGAATTAGTCTCTCACGTTTAAGTCAGATGATTTCAGCAACAAACTCAGTTTTCCAATTCGCCTGGAAAAGTCAGATCTGTGACCTCGGCTGGTGCCCCCCACAGCGTCTCTCCCTGGGGGACAGTGGGTGGAGCTGAGTGCAGCTGCCCCTTGGATGAGGTCTCCCACCCCCGGTCCTCACAATAAGTCAGCTGTCTTGGGCCGGGGGAGTCATGCTGTTTTCCCCACAGAACAATCAGGAGGTGACAGAAACAGGTTGGATTCTCTCGCTCCTGTGCCAAGGAGGACGACATGGGTCAAACCAGAGAGGCCCTTGTTCTCCAAGTCTGCCCACCCCAGGGCCCTCCTGGTTGCCTGGATGCAACAGTGACAGGCTTGGTTCACGGAAATGCTCATCACCAGGGCCAGACGCAATCCCAGCATCTGGAATAAACAGCCGCCCTTATGTAGCAACAGCTGACCCCTGGGCTGGGGAGTGGGCAGCTGGGCTGCGGTGCCAGCGTGAGAGCCCACCAGGCTGGGAGTCCACCACCACAGGGTTGGGCCCTGGGTCCCCGTCAGGGACACACCAGTTCCTGGTCAAGTGCAGCCTCGGTCCTGTGTGTGCCTGGGGCTGGGGTTGACCCTCTGACACTCAACCTGGGGGCCACACCTGCTCCCCCACAGCCTCCCAGGCTGGCCCCTGGCTTTACGCGCAGAGAAGCTGAGCCCCAGGTGAGGTGGGGGCGTCATCCACAGTCAGCGAGCATCCAGACCCAGGGCTGCAGGGAACCCTGGACGGAGACAGGCCTGCGGTGTGGGGGCGGCCGGCAGCTGTGAGGACCAGCTTGGACCTAACGGCTTATGTGGGGGCGGCCCGCAGGCCCTGACCACATCTCGGTCTCCTGCAGCTGGTGGTCCTGGCCGTGGAGCACGTGGCCTTGGCCCTAATGGAGATCAAGGTCTGCGATGGTCAAGAGCACATGGTCACTGTCTCGCTGAGGGAGGGTGAGGCCACCCTGGAGGTGGACGGCACCAGGGGCCAGAGCGAGGTGAGCGCCGCGCAGCTGCAGGAGAGGCTGGCCGTGCTCGAGAAGCACCTGCGGAGCCCCGTGCTTACCTTTGCCGGCGGCCTGCCAGGTAGGTACTCCCTGCCCTGCTCATCCCGGGCGAGGGGCTCCAGGGATGCCCAGCTTGGTCACCCCAGATCGAACCTGGACAGGCTGGTGTTTCTGGTTGTGTGTTTTAAGAGGAAGGGGAAGTCCAGGTGGGTCCTTAGCGGCCATTATGGTGCCTCCATGCCGGTCAGGTCGTCAGCTGAGGCTGAGAAACACATACAGGGGCTGGCATTGGCCTGAGTCAGATCCCGTGAACCGGCATCTTCAGGGAGCGTTTGTCCACACCCATCAGACCGGCCCCTGGGGAGAGGGCTGGGCAGACCTCAGGCCAGGCTGCAGTTGGGACCCACGGCTGTCACCACAGCTGTTAGCAGCCAGCCCCTCCCGCGTCCAGCAGGGCGCCCCGCCGTGTCCCATGGGCTACACAGCACAGAGGCTGGGACCAGGGATGTCCTTGCCATTAGCTGGGAGGGTGAACAGGAAGGCACGTGGGAGCCCGCTAGTCCTCGGCTGCCTGCAGGTTTTCACTTGCAGCAAATGGCAGGATTTCTGTCTTGGCTGCCAGACACAGACTCCACTTAGTTTTAATAAACAGAGCTTTGAAGAGGATGAGAGCAAGCCAGGAGGCCTGCAGCCTGAATGACTCACCGGGCAAAGAAGAAGATCGCGTTTAATCGATGGGACTGTCTGTGCTCCCGGCGGGGAAGGGAGGGCCGGCGTCTGCAGAGCCCAGGCTGGCGGATGCCTCCTACTTGTCTGCCGGGTCTGCAGCCGAACAAACAGGGACAGAAGTTAGAGAAGAAAGGGAAATCCTGCCCTTTCAGAGGAAACCCAGGGCTGGCCACAAGCGCTTCCTAGGGTGGGGGGCCAGGCAGGGACCGGCCACGCGGTGATCCCTGGGACCCAGGCTGGGTCTGCTAAGATGTGTTTGTTCTCTCCCCGCGGCCCAGATGTGCCAGCGACTTCAGCGCCAGTCACCGCCTTCTACCGCGGCTGCATGACACTGGAGGTCAACCGGAGGCTGCTGGACCTGGACGAGGCGGCGTACAAGCACAGTGACATCACCGCCCACTCCTGCCCGCCCGTGGAGCCCGCCGCAGCCTAGGCCCCCATGGGACGCAGCAGGCTCCTCAGCCTCTGTCCGAAACAGCAGGGAGGAGCACGGGGGCTCCTCACCACGTGGGGCCACCTGAGAGCTGGGCTTTCCTTTGTGACCGTCTTGGCCTGTAACATATCTGTAAATAGTGAGATGGACGTGGGGCCTCTGACGCCGCGCACTCAGCCGCAGGCCCGGGCACGGGGAGGCCGGCGCAGGGCAGAGCGGGTTCGAAGAAAATAATTCTCTATTATTTTTATTACCAAGCGCTTCTTTCTGACTCTAAAATATGGAAAATAAAATATTTACAGAAAGCTTTGTAACACTGCGTTGGCCGCCATCTGCTCCCCGCGGGGTTCTCGGCACGTAGCAGCGTCTGGGATGAGCGGGGCTGCCAGGGCTCCAGGCTGCACGCTTGGCCGCTCCAAAGATCCCTCTTTTCTGCTCCCAGCCTGGTTGGGTGGCCACGGTCTGCTCCTCGGGAGCCTCTGACTCTGGTAGTGAGGGCAGGGGCTGGAGCCTCAGTTTACTTGTTCTGCAAATGGGGAGAAAGCCCCGCTCAGCCCTCACCACGGGCAGCCAGTCAGTGCCGAGTGAGGAGGGCACGGTGAGGGCTTGGCACACAAACGCAGGCTGCTCAGACAGCGGCCTCTGAGCCAGCCTGGAAGGGACCCCGAGCTGGGACCGAGGGCAGGAAGATACCAAGGTGGCACCTGCACCCCTGTGCCATCCCACCCCCACCCTCCTGCACAGACCCACTTGCTTCCGGGGCTCAAGCGTGTTCTGTTGAGAAAAGGAAACGCTGCTTTCTGTGTGTCTCAGTCTGCGGTAGAGCTTGCCGGGAGCAGAGCCAGCCCCGCTTCCCACGTCCCCTCTGGCAGGGTCCCCATGTCCCTCAGCCTCAGCTTCCTTGTCTGCAAGGGGTGGAGCGGTCACTGCTGCTCTCTGACCCCAGCAGGCCACGAGTCTGCAGGGAAGGTTGGGGCAGCCGGAACGCCGTGAGGCAGGTGCCTGAGATGCAGTCGGGACCCTGCCTGCCTCCTGGAAGGATGTTGGAGCCGCAGCTGGTGGGGGCCGTGGAGTGGGGGCCACGGAGTGGCTGCTCCTCCTTGGTCCCAGGGGGACGACCAAGACGCGTGGCTTGATGCTCCCGTGGGACGCGGCCACCTGTGCTAGAGCCTCTATCTGGGCCAAACGTGGGTCCCCAGGGCAGGTGCTGCCACTGCAGGGGCCACACGGGGGACCAGGGAGGGTTTCAGCATCTGAGACCCAGACTGGGGTTTTACTTGAAGACCAAACCCCCACCTGTGCTTGGAGCTCCCTGGGCGGGAGTGAGACACAGGGCAGCTGGGAGCAGCCACACCTCCCACCAGTCAGTCCCGGAGCTGCGCCCGCCGGGCAGGACAGGCTGTGCATCGGGGCCTCTTCGCCTCTGCCTGGCTGGGGTCAGCGCTTGACCCAGAGAAAAGCCGGGTGGAGAAGGACAGAATCCTGAGAACCCGTCCAGGGATAAATCACCACAAATGAACTGCAAAGAGGTTTCTAGAAAGGCCTGTGGCTTTGAAGGCCACACGGGAGGCCCCGCTGGCTGGACTGACAAGGTGGCATCGGCCGAGTGGGCTCCTGAGGGAGCAGCTCCGGGCCTGACGGCTGTGGAATGGGCAGAGCTTCTCCAAGGCTCCGGGAGCCAGCAACACTCACGCCCACCTGGAGGGAGCCTGCCCGCCTGGGCCGAGCTCACCCCATGGATGGACAGCCAGCCAGGCACCTTGCCAGGGGCCATGCACAGGGCCCTGGCCCTGGGGCCCCATCCCCTGCTGCCAGAGCTGCCCAGCGCATCCACACTGGAGTCTCCATGCCCTGGTGGTCCCTGAGGGTCCTTGGCAGACCCACCCTGTGTCTCTGGGGCTCTTGTTGACCAATGCCAGTTCTGAGCTCCTCGGGCCACATCCCACGACCCTGTGCCATCATGGGCATGACGCCACTTGCTCTGGACACACTGGGGAAGGGCCTCTTGTTCTTCCCAAAATCTTGGCAGCATCTGGGTAGAAGTTCCGTTGACTCAGGGCTGCAGCCTGAATTCAGGACTTGAACCTAGTCTAAGAGGTACTGCAGGCAACTTTCGCATCGGTACCATGAGAAAATAGTGACGGGGGAAGCGTTGACCTCAGAGGGCAGACGCCAGGCTCCCGCTGCTGGCTCCTTTCAGAAACGTCCATCTGCAGCCAGCGGCCCTGTGTGTGTGTGACGGCCCTCACCAGCCTCGCCCAGCAGCACGTGCACTTTCCGCAGGCAGACGCGCTTTCTCCACTCGGGCCAGGACAGGTGGCCACTGGCTGCTCACACGGTCGGGGACCCGAGGCCCCCACACTGGCTCCAGGGTGCCCAGGTACTGGTTGGCTGAGGATGGTAGAGTCCAGGGCTTGGATCTGCCCATCTGGAGCACAGGAGCCCAGTTCCAGGAGGCCTCAGGCGTGGATGCTGACGGCTCACTGAGCAGGTCCACTCGTCTGACCCTGACGGTCCAGAGCCAGCCGACCAGAGCTCCAAGAAGCCCGTGAAACAGCCCCCTGAGCCCCAGGAGAGCCCTGCACTGCCCACCACACGGCCTCGCACGGCCACAGGGGCCACAGCGCCATGTGCAGGCCACAGCCTGCCACCACCACCATTCGCACGGCCACAGGGGCCACAGCCTGCACTGCCCACCACCACGACTCTCGCGGCCACCGCTGGGGCCTGGCACCACTGCCCACCACGGCCTCGCACGGCCACAGGGGCCACAGCCTGCACTGCCCACCACGCTGGCCTGCGGCCTGAGGCCTGACGGCCTCGCACGGCCACAGGGGCCACAGCCTGCACTGCCCACCACATGGCCTCGCACGGCCACAGAGGCCACAGCCACACGCTAGGATCCAGCCCCCAGCTTGGTACTGCATTGTCCATCAGATCACATTGGTGGGCCCCCCCAGTGCTCTCCCCAAATGTTCCCCGGCTGGCTGGGAGCCTGCTCCTGCCCAGCCTCCATCCTCCCCAGGTCAAGACAGCCAGGAGCAAAAACAGGCAACAGCCAGCCTCGGGGACGGGGACGTGGTGAGGTCCCCACAGACACAGGCCACAGTCACCAGTGTTCTCAGGACAAAACCCTCCGCCTGGGTTTCTGCTCTGGCCCCACAGGAATCAGGAACTTCTGTTTCCTGATATTGTTTTCTTAGAGTTCCAGGGGTGCCAGAAGTTATAATAACCACTGTCCCAAACAAGCAAAACCAATGGTGCTAGGAATTGCAACACAGAGGCCCAGCCAGGCCTGTCATATTGGCGACCTGGCACCCTCCAAAACCAGGCATGTCTGGGGTGTGCAAGAGGATAGGAAGACAGAGCACGTGGTTCTAGTGTGGGCGCCCTGGGGAGGGAGGAGGGAAGTGTCCCATGCAGGGAGGAGCGAGAGTTCCCCATACAGGGAGGGGGGATGTGTCCCTGGAGGGAGGAGGGACGTGCCCCGTGGAGGGAGGAGGGACGTGCCCCGTGGAGGGAGGAGGGACGTGCCCCGTGGAGGGAGGAGGGACGTGCCCCGTGGAGGGAGGAGGGGTGTGTCCCAGGAGGGAGGAGGGAAGTGTCCCAGGAGGGAGGGGGGATGTGTTCCAGGAGGGAGGAGGGACAGCCCTGACTCTGGGCTGGAGAGGAGGAGGGAGGCTTGGGATTGTTTTGCGGGTGGGGTCCTTTGATCTGGCCGTGTCCTGTGCCCAGCAGATGCAGCAGTGCCCCCTCCTGGACACTCCACCTCATGACAACACGAAATGCCTGCAGAAGTTGGCTGCTGTGCCCTGGGCCCGGAGCCTCTGTGGAAACACTGCTCTAAACACAAAGAAACGTTTCCTCCTACTTCACGTAATACAGAAAATATGAACATCAGGTATTTAAATGCCAACGGAAGCGTAAAGCGAATGTACAGCCGGACTAATCCCAGCCTGGCCTGTTTGTAGAAGCTCCAGCTCCAGCCCCTGCCTGCAAAGCGAGACGGGTCACCAGCCCCAGGGTCGAGGTCTCCACGAGGGAGAGGGGAAGGTCCACTCCATGGTGCCCTTGTTTCAAGCATGTTTTCCGCTTACTGAATTCCATCAGTTAAAGGTCTAGGAAACAGAAAGGGAAGTGGTGTGTGTTGCCGTCTGAGGATCTGCTGACGGGCCCTGGCCTCGTGGAATCCTCCTCTGCCTGTGGGTCTCCGGAGTTTCGGAGGTATCTCTGCTCCCACCGTGGGGCCTGGTGGCCACAGAGTCCCCAAGTCTGCAGAAGGAGCTGCTCTGCGTGGCAAGGGTGATGACCGTGGCTCTTGTTCACTGAGCACAGCCGGCGGCCGGCACTGCGCGAGGCGCCAATGCAGCCCCATAAGGCCATCTTCACAACAGCCTTGGGGCCTGGTTCTCCCACCCCCGTTTCCATGGAGATGTGATTCACACGGCAATAGCCACGCCTTATGAGTGCAGGGCACTGGTCGGCGGTCAGTCCATCCACCAGGCCGTCCACCTGTCACCTCCATCTGGCTCCCGGACACTCCCCACAAGAACCCATGTCTGACAGCAGTGACTGCACCTCCCTCCCTATCCAGAACACGCTCAGAACACGCTTGCCTCCCCCAGAAGAACCCGTCACTCCATGGTGCCTCCTGTGTTTCAAGCATGTTTTCCGCTACTGAATTCCCATCAGTTAAAGGTTCAGGAATGTAGAAAGGGAAGTGGTGTGTGTGTTGCCGCTCTGAGGGATTCGCTGGACGGGCCCTGGCCTCGGGGTGGAATCCTCCTCTGCCTGTGGGTCTCCGAGCTTCGAGGTATCTCTGTTCTCACCGTGGGCCTGTGGCCACAGATGAAGTCTGCAGAAGGAGCTGCTCTGCGTGGCAAGGGTGATGACCGTGGCTCTTGTTCACTGAGCACAGCCGGCGGTCGGCACTGCGAGGCGCCTGCAGCCCTGTCGTAACAGCTCAGCCTGGGTTCTCCCACCCCGTTTCCATGGAGCAGGGGATTCACACGGCACACGCCAGGAGTGCAGGGCATCAAGGGTGTCAGTCCATCCACTCAGGCTGGCCCACCTGTCACCTCCATCTGGCTCCCTTGACACTCCCCACACAAGAACTCCACATGTCTGACAGCAGACTGCACCTCCCTCCCTATACCCTGTTGGGCAGAAACACGCCTCAGAACACGCTGCCTCCCCAGAAGAACCCGCGTGTGTCCCTGACCAGCAGACTGCACTTCCCCTCCCCCATCCAGAACACGCCTCAGAACACGCTTTGTCTCCCCAAAGAACCTGCAGAAGTCCTGTGACTCAGTGACTGCACCTCTCCCATCCAGAACACGCCTGTAACACGCTTGTCTCCCCCAAAAGAACCTCGTGTCCGGCAGGGACCAGTGACTGCACCTCTCCCCATCTCAGAACACGCCTAAACACGCTTGCCTCCCAAAAAGAACTCCGTGTCCGGGTGGGAGTGCGACTGCACCTCTCCCCATCCAGAACACGCCAGAACACGCTTGCCTCCCCAGAGAACCCGTGTCCCTGACCAGTGACTGCACCTCCCTCCCCATCCAGAACACGCCAGAACACGCTTTGTCTCCCCAGAAAAAGAACCCGTGTCCGTGGAGAGAAAGTGACTGCACCTCCCTCCCCATCCAGAACACGCTCAGAACACGCTTGCCTCCCAGAAGTGAACTCCGTGTCTCGTGACCAGTGACTGCACTCCTCTCCCCATCCAGAACACGCTCAGGAACACGCTTGTCTCCCCCCAAAGAACCTCGCGTGTCCGTGACTCAGTGACTGCACCTCTCCCATCCAGAACACGCTCAGAACACGCTTTGTCTCCCCTTAAAAGAACTCCGTGTCCGTGACCAGTGACTGCACTTCTCCCCATTCAGAACACGCTTCAGAACACGCTTGCCTCCCAAAAAGAACTCCGCGGTCCTGGAGCAGTGACTGCACTCCTCTCCCCATCCAGAACATCGCTCAAACACGCTTGCCTCCCCAGAAGAACCCGTGTCCCTGACCAGTGACTGTGCACCTCCCCATCTGTGCTGTGGCAAAGGGTGGTGGTGCAAAAGTCAAAGCTTTCACGCCAGAAACATTAGAACACGCTTGTCTCCCCCAAAAGAACCCGTGTCCGTGACCAGTGAGTGCACCTCTCCCTATCCAGAACACGCTCAGAACACGCTTGCCTCCCCAGAAAGAACCCGTGTCCGTGAGCAGTGAGTGCCTGCGCCTCCTTTCCCAATCGGCTTCTGTCTGTGGACACGCCTGCTCTGGACACGCCTGCTCTGGACACGCCTGCTCTGGACACTGCATATAAACAGAACAGAGTCTTGGTGTCTGGTGTCCTTCCCTGAGCACCATGTGTTACAGCCTCACCCCGTAGCACCCATTAGAGTTTCCTTCCTCTCCATGGCCGGGTGACCTGTGTGTGGACTGGCCACTGTAGTATTACTGTTCTCATGCTGCTAATAAAAACTTCCCCAAGACTGGGAAGAAAAAGAGGTTTAATTGGACTTACAGTTGCACATGGTTGGGGAGGCCTCACAGTCACGGTGGGAGGCCAAAGGCACCCCTTACACGGCAGCAGCAAGAGAAAACGAGGAAAAAGCGGAAGCGGAAATCCTGATCATCCCATCAAATCTCGTGAGACTTATTCACTCTCACGAGAATAGCACGGGAAAGACCAGCCCCTGTGATTCAATTACCTCCCGCTGGGTCCCTCCCACAACGCACAGGAATTCTGGGAGATGCAATTTGAAATTTGGGTGGGGACACAGCCAAACCCTATCACCCACGTCCCTTCCCCTCTCCGTGGCCGGTGGCACCTGTGGACGGACCACATCCCTCCCCCACTCAGTAGTTGCATTTGGGCTGCTTCTGACTGGGGGCTCTTGTGAGCAGTGCTGCTGTGTGAAATGTAGAAACTGAGGCAGGAGGAGGCTCCCTGTAACCAAAGGTCCCAAGCTAATAAGGGTGGGGCCAGTTTCAGTGGAGCCCTGCCCAGGGCAATGTTCTGACCCCGCCCTCCCCAGGCCTGACTTGCAGCTGCATCAGGCCCCTCCCCTGAGGTGCAGGCGAAGCCTGTCTCTTGTGTGACCCAGTGAGGCAGGGCGTGCAGGTGGGACCACAGCACCCCCAAACGGTTACCCAGCACCCCCTGCCCCACCATCCCCTCCACCCCATCTCCCGAGGCCTCCAGGGTCTCCCTGGCCTCGGCTGTGCGTGGGAACTGAGCGAGGGCAGAGTTGGGGGCCCATCCCTCCAGGGGAGGCTGGGAGGAGGCTGGGATTAGGAGGCCCCAGCGGAGCCCAGGGAGGGGTTCATCAGACCGTAACTCAGGCCGGCAGAGCTTGGTGGCCCCAGAGAGGCTCCGTCCACATGAGACGGGTGCACCTCGAGAGCAGCTGCCACCCACACGCAGGCCAGGCATTGGCCGGATCCCTGCGCCGGGTGGGAGCTGCCCTGGGGCCTGGAGGACCCTCCGGCCACCACCAGCCTTGAGTCAAATTGTTCACATTCTTTGTGGCTGGGGTAAAGGATAAGGACATTTTTGTGGCAAGAACAAAATTGTTGACCTTGGAGTTGAATATTTTTGAACAGCTTTTGACTCTAGACAAGATTAAAAGTCAGGGAAGATCGACGTTGTGTTTGGGGGACGCTGGTGCGTGCGGCCTCGGGGAAGCACCGGATGCCCCCACACCGCACCCTGCAACCGAGGGCTGACATGAGGGAACAATGGTTATTCCTGTGACTTTGCTGGTCAGGGCTCCAGGTGGCAGAGGCTCCCTGCCCAGGCCTGCAGTTCAGCTTCTCTGCTCTTCGTACCCCTAGAACAAGAGGCCCTGGGGCCTGCACCAGGCAGCTTCGGGGGCACAGGCCGAGCTCCAGAGTGCCCAGGCCACAGAGAACCGCCCACACAAGACCACGGCACCGTCAGCGCCCATAGAACCTCCCCTGAGGTAAAACGAGAGCCTCGGGGGCTCGGGAAATCCATGGCACACTTTTCATCCCCCCCCTGCTGCTTGTTCAGCTTCTCAGTCGGAGCCAGGCGCCTGCAGCCCTGGAGGAACCTGGCGGTGAGTTTCCAGACAGGACACAGCGCCTCCGGCTCATGCCTGACCTCCTGGACTGGTCCAAGGCCAGTCAGCCCTGAGGAGAGGCCAAGACCACACTCTCCTGGAGAGCAAGCGCGTGAGGCTGGATTTATAAAATAAAAATGACAAGCAGTGGCGGGTTCACAGACCAGAGCTGGCTGCAGGCCTTTCAGAGGCCCTTTGGCGCCCCTGGGCGTGGCTGGGCACCGTCCGTGTGTGGATGTGCGCTGCGGGCCTTCTGCCCAGGAGCACTGAACACAGGATGAGACCCGCCGTCGGGCCGAGGGGGACAGAGGGAGGCTCCCGGGCAGCGGAGAGGGCAGGAGCCTGTGTCTGCATGAGCGTGGCTCCCGTATCTTTTTTCTCCCAGACCCAGGACTGGGCAGGGAAGAAAGTCCCCGCTCCAACTCCCAGGCAGGTGCTGTTCCATGAAATAAGCTGGAGACCTCAGACTCACTCAGGAGAAGAGTGGTACTTGTTTATTGCAGACACAGTGGGGCTTTGAAGGGAGGGACGTGAGGCCCTGGGGCACCAGCTTCCGAGGGGAGAGGGAGTGACTGGGGAAGTGTGAGCAGCCCACAGAGCAGAGGCGGTGACTCGGTGTCTTGTGGTGCGTCTGAGGAGCAGTGGGATCGCCTCTCGCCTCCCCCGCGCCCCGGGGAGTCCGTGGTTCCTTGAGGATCTGACTTTAGGGATTGAGAACCTCTCCCCACATCCACTGCTTTTCAAGAGACTCTGGCTACTTTGGGGTGGCGCATCCTGAACTCCAGTCACTGGGGCGCCTGGGACCCACTGGGGACCTGCCTCTTCCCAGGCGTGCTCACCTGTCTCCCCAGGTGTGCCTGGCAGGGCGCACACTGGGCCCGCGGGGAGCCAGGCTGGTTTCCACAGGGAGCGCTGCGGCCCCAGACCCTGAGCCGAGGGACCGCGAAACACCCACCCGCACTGTCCCCTCCTGAGACACGGTGTGGTGAGGGAGCCGCCGCGGAAGGACAGCAGAAGTCCAGGCGCCGTAGCTGGGAGACAGCTCAGGGAGAGACCCTCGCGCCCGTGGCCCGGGCAGATTTGAGCCCAGTGCTGGGAAGGACAACCAGGCCCCCAGACTCTGGCAACTCGCAGGCGGTTAGACACAGCGCCGGGCGTGGGAGCTGAAGCGTCATTCCCTTCCTGGCATTATGTCAGGGGCACAGCACGCGGGGCGGGTGGGTCCTGCCCTGCCCTTCTCCAGGACACAGGCACACGCGTGAATGTGTAACGCACAACACACGTCCACAAACAGGAACACACACGCAGGGAGGCACGGGGCCGCACCTTCTTTGCAGAATCATAATAGCAGCTAATTAATTAAGGGATGTGAAAACACCAGAACAATCGCTGTCAAAGGAGGAGGCCGGGTGGTGTGAGCAGAGCCCGAGCCGAGGTGTCACCAGCCTGGGTCTGCAGGGCCCCACTCCCTGCCTGGTCCCAGCCTCCCTCACCAGTGTGCCCAGGGAGGGAAGCAGGGGACAGACTTCCGGAACACTCTCCTGGGTTCTCTAGGAGGTTGGCCACAGAAGCGGGATTTCTAGAGGCTGCCTTTTTTTTTCTTTTACTCCACACCTCTCTCAGGGTGCATAGGGGGGTGGCTTCTCCCCTGGGGGAAAGTAGGTGGGTACGTAGCGCGGTGGGGCCTGGCCAGGAAGCCCAGAGCCAGAGCTGCTTGGAGAGGGAGACTGCAGGTCCTCAGACAAAGCCAGGGCGGAGGCGGGCGAAACTGGGAAGCGGCTGCAGGGCTGCAATAAACAGAGGGCCCTGGGTTAGCAGGTGAGACCACCCCGTGCTGGACCGCAGGAAAGCCTGACATAGACCAGGATCACTCACATGTGCACCCCACCCCCGCCGGCCCAGGGCCATTCACAAGGGCCCCCCCGCCACAGACGGCCATTCACACCCCCCACACCCCCACCCCACAGACCCAGGGCCATTCACACCCCCCCACCCCTCCACACACAGACCCAGGGCCATTCACACCCCCCACACCCCCACCCCACAGACCCACGGCCATTCACACCCCCCCCACCCCCACCGACCCACGGCCATTCACACCCCCCCACACCCCACCGACCCACAGCCATTCACACCCCCACCCCCCGACCCACGGCCATTCACACCCCACCCCCCACCCACACACAGACCCACGGCCATTCACACCCGCCCACACCCCACCCCACACAGACCCACGGCCATTCACACCCCCCACCCCCACACACACAGACCCGGCCATTCTGGGAGCCCCCGCCTGAGCGGCCATTCACCCCCACACACACAGACCCGCGGCCATTTCACACCCCCACCCCACCCCACAGACCCAGAGACCATTCACCCCCACCCCACCCCCACAGACCCAGGGCCATTCACACCCCCACACACACACACACAGACCCAGGGCCATTCCACCCCCACCCCCACACACACAGACCCAGAGCCATTCACACCCCCACACACACACAGAGACCCAGGGCCATTCCACCCCCCACCCCCACACACACACAGACCCAGGGCCATTCACACCCCCCCACCCCCACACACACAGACCCAGGGCCATTCACAAGGGACCCCCACCCCAAAGACCCAGGGTCATTCCACCCCCCACACACACAGACCCAGGGCCATTCCACAAGGGGACCCCACCCCACCCCAGACCCAGGGCCATTCACACCCCCACACACACAGAGACCCAGGGCCATTCTGCAACCCCCACACACACACACAGACCCAGGGCCATTCCACAGCCCCCACACACACACACAGACCCAGGGCCATTCACACCCCACACACACACACAGACCCAGAAGGGCCATTCCCTGCGCCCCTCCCCACAGACCCAGGGCCATTCACACCCCCACACACACAGAGACCCAGGGCCATTCACACGCCCCCGCCCCACACACACACACACAGACCCGGCCCTCTCCACTGGCCCCCTCCCCACAGACCCAGGACAGCTGGACAGAGCAGCTCAGCCTGGTCACAACAGGAGAGGTGGCCCGGGAGGCTTCCACTGGCACAACCTTGGCTTCCACAGCTGGACAGGAGGGTAGATGCCCCAGGAAGGGGTGTGCCCAGACCACATCCGCTGCCTCGCGAGATTGTGAGCCCACTCTGACCTGACTCCAGGCTTCGACAGTCAGGGGCCACCAGGCCGGGGCCTGGGCTCACCCAACACTTCATGTTCAGGAAGGCCCACGTGTGAACCCACGCGTCCACCGTCCAGCAGTGTGGCGGTTCAGTGATGTCACCGTGGCTGACTCAGTGGCTCACACACATCTGGGTGTTGCGGTGGAGAGTGTCTTCAGGTGTGATCGACACCCACACTGCATACAAGCGCGTCAGCCCCTGGACACGGGCCCCTCCTCTCCCCCTGAAGGCCTTGGAAAGAGGCTGCGGTCCCCAGGAGAAGTGGACTCTGCCCCAGCGGCCTGGGCACTCCTGAGGCAACATCACCCTCCTGGTCAGCCTGTCCCTTCCCCTGTGGTTGTGCACCTGCAGCTGGTGGCCAGCCAGTCATTCAGAATCAATGGATTGATCTCTGTCTTCACAGGTAGGTACCTGTATTCCCCATAGGCTCTGCTTCCCTAGAGAGCCCCGACTAACACACATAGACCCACTCAAGTACTTAATTCTGAGACCGGGCTTGAGAACAGATTTTAAATCAATACATTCTAAGCTTTTCTCCAACTTTCAACACACATCTTAGTTCTTACCCCCACCCCAAATTCTAGGGCTAAAAAACTCTGTCTTGAAATCAAATTTTAAATAAAGCAAACAAACTCCTTCTAACACAGGAAGAGAGTTTTTAAACTCCAAGCTACCAGATGTGCTCTGTGCTCTTCTTGCCCCGGCCTGCAGGGTCCCATGAGAAGCCAGCAGCCTGTCTGAGTCTTTCCCTGGAAATACTGCGCTGCAGGCAGCCCTGGGAGCTGGCAGGACCTCTGGATCTGGCAAATTTCTGCACAGGTGTAGGTAAGGCTGAGAATGGGGCCCTTGCTCAGAGGGACTGCGATGTTGAGGCTGACAGCCCAGGCTCGTGGGATCCAGTAGCTCAGGGACACCTGCCAACCTCATTCTTTCAACTCCCCAAAACTCACAGGTTTCTGGCCACAGGCGACAGAGTGAGACACTAGGGAACATTCTCTCAAGTCTGCTGGGAACTCCCAACTTCCAACTCCATAGCACCCACTCTTCACAGCAGATGAGCAGTCAAGGAAACTGAGGGGTAAACCCCAGGACAAGGTAAAACTCTCAGAACCACAGAGTAACCCCTTCCTCCACCAGGAACCACAGAGCAAACCCCAGGACCGCGTGGTTAACCACTGAATGCACAAGGCCCATACAAGGGCAAGCCCCGCCCACAATCTCACAGGGGAAGGGAGGGCACGTTTCTCAGTAACGGGGCAGGAACTCATCCTCTGCTGTGATGCCACATCCTCGCCTGCACTTCCGCCTGGCAAGCTGCTGGGCGCAAGGTAGGTGATCTCTTTTTTTTTTTTTTTTTTTTTTGACGTGGAGTCTTGCTCTGTCGCCCAGGCTGGAGTGCAGTGGCCGGATCTCGGCTCACTGCAAGCTCCGCCTCCCGGGTTCGCCATTCTCCTGCCTCAGCCTCCCGAGTAGCTGGGTTCACAGGCGCCGCCACCTCGCCCGGCTAGTTTTTTATATTTTTAGTAGAGAGACGGGGTTTCACTGTGTTAGCCAGGATGGTCTCGATCTCCTGACCTCGTGATCCACCGATCTCGGCCTCCCAAAGTGCTGGGATTACAGGCTTGAGCCACCGCGCCCGGCAGGTGATCTCTTTAAATTGCCCTTTTTATTAACTGCTCAAAACAACCCCAAGTCACTGTTCCCACCCCCACTGTATCTCAAGTGAGTATTTTCTGCTGCTAACGACTTCCATGGAACACACTGAGACATTTTCTCTCCATCTCTGCGGAAGCAAGCCCCTCCTTGTTGTTCTTCTGAGGAGCACATGAGCCTCAACTGATTTGCCATCTCTGAAATCCGATGATCAGCATGTGTATATTAGAAAGCTCACACATGGGCACAGAGGCTGGCTGGGCCATCCGAGGGCCCCAGGCCTCCCCAGAGGAAGAGGGGAACATCCACCCTTTGTATAAAGCCAGAGCTCCAAGGTGGATAAGGATGGAGCACCATGGGGATGGTAGATCTGCCGCATCCCCCACATCCCGTAAGCCAGCGTGTGACGGAGGAGACCGCCCCCACATCCCGTAAGCGCCTGCGTGTGATGAGAGACCACCCCCACAGCCTTAAGCCGGCATGTGACAGGAGGACCGCCCCCCACATCCCGTAAGCCCGCGTGTGATGGGGAGGACCGCCCCCATATCCCGTAAGCCCATGTGATGAGGAGGACCGCCCCACATCCCGTAAATCTTCATGTGACAGGAGGACTGCCCCCACATCCCGTCAGCCTCGTGTGACAGGGAGGACCTTCGCCCCCATATCCCATAAGCCGCGTGTGTGGGGAGGACCGCCCCATATCCCAGTAAACCTGTGTGTCACAGGAGGACCGCCCACATCCCACCCAAGCCATGTGATGGGGAGGACCACCCCCCACATCCTGTCAGCCTGCGTGTGACAGGGAGGACCTCCCCTATCCCATAAGCCCGGCGTGTGGCCGGAGGACCGCCCCCACATCTTACACCTCGGTGGGGCTCACAGGCAGGGAGGATGCCCCTGCCCCTGTAGAGGAGTCACCACCCCCTCCATGCACAAAGCCTCACTGTCTCCAAGGTCCCAAGTCAGAATGCAAACTTGAAGCCTGGCCCCTCACAGCCAGAGCTTCAGCCAGCCAGGCCCCAGCACCAGGGCAGCCCAAACCCAGCCCTGGAGCCAGACCAGAAGGAAGCAGCTGATGGAACCGGTTCTCTCCTCTGGGGCCCGGGGCTGAGGTTGAGGATGGAAGACAGGCCGGGCCACTGAGCTGTGCTCATGGGCTGCAAGTTCTTGGCACCTGTGCGATTCCAAGTCCTGGTCTGTGCCAGAGCCGATTGGGCAGCACCTGCAGGCCCAGCGTCCTGGAGATACCCCTGCCCCTGCGAGATCTCCAGCTCTGGGCAACCCAGGCTTCCGTGGGAGACCAGGAGGCCAGAGAGAAGCCCCCAGGACAAGGCTGTGGCCCGGAGGACATGGTCCCTGCGTGATGGGGGCGTCCTGGAGCAGGGCAGGAAGCAGGGGAGAGGCTGCCTGTAGCACATGCAGGCCGCGCCTGCCCACACAGGAGAGACCACCGCAGGGTCGCTGGCAGAAGCTCCGCCATCTTCTGACCCTACAGGACAACATCTTCCCCCATCACAGAAATGGAAAAGATGCTTCCAGGCCAGACCTCTGGCAGGGGCCTTGTGTTCCCCAGGAGAGGGCCCACAGCATATTCAAAGTGAGAGAGGAGACTGAGGCACGGGGTGCAGGGATCCCTCACGGAGATGGTGTCAGGCTGGGGCCTAGTCGTCTCCATTGAGCCCAACAGCTGCGTGTCCCGGGCAGGACTGAAGCAGCTGCCCCAGCGAGCCCACAGGCCAGGGACCCCAGCAGCCCCCTCTCCATGAGTGCCGGTTCCCGCTCCACTCCACGGGGTCCCTGGCGCAGGTCCCCGGGAGTGAGCTGAGAAGGTCGTGGCTCTCGGAGACCCGGCTCAAACCTGAGCCCCTGTCTGGACGTGAGGGTGGGGTGTGTCACACGCCTCCCGGACGTCACTCTGAGGAATGTCTCTTCCTGCCAACGT